GTCCCGCTGCAGTGTCGTAGCCAGACCATTTGCAAACTCGAAGCTCCAAGCGAAACGACGCACACGGCTTCCATGATGTCCACCTTGCGCGAGGTGGCCGCTGCACAGTCCTCTGCCCCGTCGACTCCCACGACATCTTCCACCAGGCCTCGGGCCCACTCTGGCCAATCTGCACTCTCCTCCGCCTGCGCGCTCGGCGCGTTGGCCGTCGGCAAGCACTTGAAACCTGGCGGATGCAACAGGCCGGTGAACACACAGTCCAGGAGCCACGCTGCCAAAGGTGTGCAGCCGTAGCTCCTGGCTATCTGCGCCACCCGAGCTTCAGAGACTGCGTTGAGAAAGGTCTTGCCATTGGTGCCGAAACACCAAATTTCTTGGCACTCTTGCTCTGTCCAATTGCCTCGTGCGCAGGCACACAGCGGCATGCGACACGTGCATGCGCTGCTGCTGCTGCTTCTTTCATACAAACAACAAACACGACAATCACTGCGTACCCTGCAACTGAGGCTGCAGCCCTAGTTCATCCGAACCTTGGTTCCGCAGAGCTGCGCCGACCACTGCCTCGACTTTACTCGCCAACCCCTGGTAGCCGCTCCCAGCCGCAAAGATGTCTGATGCATACAGCACCGATACTGCGTCTGGATCCAAATTCACGAGCTTTTGCTCATCCACCGCTTTGTCTGCACACTTTTCCACCAGTGGCCCGAGTCCAGCGACGAGGGACCTGGCCACGGCCAATACTCTGACCCTTCAACAGATATGACCTGCGCTTCTTGCGCCTTTGCGCCCATTATTCCTAGCAACAGAGCTCTACCTTATACTGCCACCAGGACACATGTCGGGTTGAATGGCGAGCTGTTCCTGTATGGCCTGGGGGCACGGATCGACCCGGTCTGCTTCCAAACAGCGGCGCACTCGCTCGCTGTCCGGCGTGCTCTCCAAGATGGTTGGGGCCACTTGTCCAGAAGGACTTGACGGCCGGTCTCTTACCGCCACAGGAGACAATGCCATTGCTCTCGAGGAACGTCCGCAAACTGAATTCGACACCCTTACACTTGAGAAGATTGCGCATCTCCACTTCTTCTTTTTACACTAGACATGCTGCATGCGGTTTTCCAATCACCTTTCACATCGACGCTCACACACAGACACACACACACAAACTCAGCCACTCCATGACACCATCTTTCCGCACTGCGCTCGCGCACACCTTCCGACGCTCATGGTCGCATATATTGCGCCCCACCACATAAACACACAGCATACACGCAGATGCAGCTGCACCCAGGAACGAAGGTCGTACGACCCATGCCCCCGCTGCGGCTCTCTACACGGTCCAGGCCTAAGACCGGCGCGGGGCTAAAATCTTCAATGGGATCCTCCTCTCCCGCACCAGGCTCTGGTGCCAAGTCGCTGAATTCTTCAATCGGATCTAAATCCTGGCCGCTTTCATCCTCCTTGCTGCTCTCTTCCGTGCCTGACAGGCTCACTGATCACATGTATCCGTCTTGCTGTACTCACATGCTCCGACCCCCGCACAGCCTTCTGGGTCCAGCTGTGTCTCTGCTGGGCCTCCCCCCGCAAACCACACAGCAAAGTTTCACTGTGAACCAAGAAACCAGCCCTCACGCTATCCTGTCTCCTGCGCCAGGTCCATCAACAAGTGGTGCGTCATATCTCCTCAGGCAATCGGGGAAAAAATTCTACACACTCTGTGCACTACATTGTCCCTCAATGTGCTCAGGACGGTTTCGACTCGAAAACACCAATCACCTGCTTCATCGCCCATCTGGTCTGTCTCCGGCATCTCCACGAAACCTGCAGCATCCAGGAGAAATCCCGATCACAGCGTCCCCTCACGTATTTCACCCTTACCGCTGCTTCCAGCACCTCATCGTCAGCTATTACCACACAACCCTTTACGCGCTCCGCGACCACACATTACGCGATTGACTTGGACCTCTCCCTAAGCTAAGCTTTGAAGTGATCTAAACTTGAGTTGGCCCTACCTCATCAATGCAAAAGAAGCAAGACCTCAAAGTCTGGCTACACCCACTTACAACAAAAATCATGGCAAGGGCTCTGAAAATAGACCATACCGAAACCCTGCAACATTCGGGTCAGCATCCGTATCCGTTTCCCACAATGTCGGAGCAAGGCACACGATGAACCACTCGACGCGGAGGACGATGCCTATCAGGCTATCAGGCAATGAGCGCCCGACATTGCTCTGTCAGCTTCTTTCTGCGCGTATGGACTTTTGAAACAACCCGTGTCCAAATCAATGTCCCGAAGTCATACGGTGGCTTTTTCAGTCTTATGATTTTCCCAGGGGGTGGGCTCTCTGCACTAGAAGTATTTTGCAGCATCCCTGGTCGAAAAGTCAACAAATATAATATATGTTCCTTTCATTTCCTGTCCTTTCGCATTCATCTCCATTCCTGGTCCTTTCATGTTCCTTTCATTTTTACACTCGTTTCGTTTCCTTTTTCATCTATGCGCAAAAACGGTCACGCGGCTATCCTCTGGTGCATGTCAATATTGAACTGCTGAGTGCGGGGTTCTTGCGAGGTCTGCCACAAGAACTTGCAGAGTTGCATTGACACAGGACGAAACGCGTATCTACTTCAAATCATTGTATCGTCCGCTTACCGTTTGTCACGGACTCCATACGGCCCATGCCCACAGGCCTTGGTCTTCGACAACACCGAACGGCAGCTGCGGCAAATCGGCATCTGCGCCGTTTGGCGTTTCTGCCTCAGAATCACATAGCGCATCCTCCAATATCCATTTTCTCTGTCTGTGATGCTCTTCGATAGAAACACGTCCACATGGTAGCTTTTATGCGCTCCTTGTTACATTGGGTTATTTCTTGGTCTGCATGCCCCATACTGAACCATCGATGCCTCGACCACGAAAAACACCCATACCCTTACACATACATTCTTTTTGATTGAAGAAGTCTTGGACCCACGAGCTCAAAACCTCGACGCCCAAACGCCAAAAAACTTCAGTCACTTTACGTGACTTCACAGCCGTGCCGGGGCGCCATTTCTTTGCGGCCTTGACCCGCAGGTCAGGGCGCTTCAGACGCCCCGACGTCGCCGTCTGGCATCCGACGCACGGTCCTGAGTTGGGTGACTGCAATGACCCGCAGCAGCAAGCGAAGCGACTCCGTGTCACAGACAACCGTTATATGGCTCCAATCCAAAGCGCCTACGCTTCAAGAAGGTCATTGTCTCTGATGCTTTCCCAAATCCCACACTACTGAGGCAACTCTATGGCCGGCTGCGCCGTTCAAGACATGTGGTCGCTTTGCTGCAAGCATGGGACGGGTGACTTCCAGATCCACTTCGCTACCCCCCTCTACCCTTTCTGTCGAGAATCTGTCCGGCACCGATGCCTTTGGCCTCGACACCGTGGCGCGCTTCTTCCCACAGTGGGGGCAAAACGACCAAGCTTCGCGCAACACCTTAGACAAGCTTGCGTGGGCCCAGTGAACTTTCCTTGTTACATTCCGTTCTTTCTTTGCATCTTGTCTACACGTTGCTTCTGGAGGCGCTGCGCCCTCCCCCCAACGACCTCCAGCTTGTAAACCGGATAACATCATGCGCATATGCAAACCATATGTGCATATGCAAAACAGGGTGCTATGTATACCTTTCTGTTCGTCTTACATACAACTTGCTCCTGCGTTTCTTTTCAAACTAAACACATCCCCTTTTGTGACCAACACAATGCCATTATGCAAAGCCATGTACTAGTTATACCTTTCGTTGCTTCTTACTAGCACTTTGGTCTTGTCAGCTTTAAAACCTTTTGTGACCAACACAAGGCGCTGCGCCTTCCCCCCTCCCCCTCCAGCTTTTAAACCTGAAAATTCCAAAACCCTTTAGCTTTTTTTAAAAAAAGTCTAAAACCCTTTATGACCAACACTATGTAAATCTGCAAAACAGGGTGCTATGTATACCTTTCTGTGCGTCTTACATACAGTTTGCTCCTGGGGGGAGGCGCTGCGCCCTCCCCCCAACCCCCTCCAGCTTTTAAACCGGATAAAAATCCAAAACCCTTTATGACCAACACTGTGTAAATACGCAACAAAACAGGGTGCTATCTATACCTATCTGTGCATGCCCTCCCCCCAACCCCCTCCAGCTATAAAAACCGGATAAAAATCCAAAACCCTTTATGACCAACACTGTGTATATATGCAACAAAACAGGGTGCTATCTATACCTTTCTGTCCTTCTTACATACAATTTGCTCCTGGGGTGCTTTTCAAACTAAACTCGTCCCCACCTTGTGACCAAAACATTCCAATATGCAAAGCCATGTACTAGTTATACCGTTCGTTGCTTCTTACTAGCACTTTGGTCTTGTCCGCTTTCATTCTTTTGTGACCAACACAAAGCAAATGTTCCAGGCACCCGCGTCTTAGCGCCCTCCCCCCAACCACCTCCAGCTTTTAAACCGGATAAAATCCAAAACCTTTTATGACCAACCCTATGTAAATATGCAAAGCAGGGTGCTATGTATACCTTTCTGTGCGTCTTACACACAATTTGCTCCTGGGGACCTTTTCAAACTAAACACATCCCCTTTTGTCACCAACACACTGCCATTATACAACGCCAGGTGCTAGTTATACCTTTCGTTGCTTCTTACTAGCACTTTGGTCTTGTCAGCTTTAAACCTTTTGTGACCCACACAAACCAAATGTTCCAATCTTCCCGGCACCCAGCGTCTTACGTACAGCTTGCTTCTGGGGGGAGGCGCTGCGCCCTCCCCCCAACCCCCTCC